AAAAAAAAAAAAGAACTCAAGGACAGAGTCCAGGATCAGGTGGTTTACTGGACTCTGACTGCACCTCAAGATTCCTGGGAGTGGTTAGAGCTTAGTGGGCGGGGCCAGGGAGGGTCAGGTTGGACGACCCCAGAGGCCGAGCCAAGGCTCAGCGGGTGGAGCCTGGGGAATGGACCGGTGACCAGGGCTTTAAGGGTAAGACCTGGGCTCAGGAAGTGGGGTCAGGCCTGGAGGGGGCAGCTGGAGAGGCCAGGGTCTCTTAAAGAGCCCTGACTTGGGCGAGGAGGTAGGGGCTGGGCTCTAAGAGCTGCAGACAGGACCGGAAGTGGAACCTGGCCAAAAGGAGGGAGAGCCATCCAGGTGGGGCCTGGCTTGCGCTGCCCAAGGGGACCCTGACTGTGGATAAAGCCTGGACTAGCAGCGCGGTTGAGGAAAGGGGGCAGAGTCAGAGCCCCTGGGCGGAGCGAGAGTTGGGGGAGCAGAACCAGGAAAGTGCTCAGCTAGAGGGGCCGGGTGGTGGCAGAGAGCAGGCCTGATTTTTTGCCTTCTCAAACACGAACCTACCTCCTGAATCCTCCTGCCAATACCGTCCCCCCTACAGACATACACGGATACCTCACTCCATCGCCAGTCCCCCATAGTCCGTTTAGTTGTTCACATTCTTGCCGATGACCCAGAGATGCCAGGCACTGGTGCCGCCTTCATTTATGCACACACTCCAAGAAACATGCGCACAACGGCTGTCACCAATAGGCGCGCACACACACACACACACACACACACACACAGACACGCGTGGTCTCCCCCGGGATGGCTACAGGCACAGCTCCGTCTCATGGTACACACACTTCCCAGGTACACGCACTCGGTGAACGCCTCACGAGACCTCATGCACCCACCCAGTGTCTCAGTGATACGAATGCACGTATACATCTATGTAGAGACCACCACATGCACTTCTGCCCACAGGCACGTTGGCCTGGTGACAATATCACACTCAGTAAACCCAGCATGGGACAGTGCAAGTGACCTGGCATCAGCCACCCGCACACAGCCACTGCCTCCTAGTGACAGCCACTTCTATTAAGGCAGGAATGGAAACTCCACCCACACAGCTGTGCCGTCACACAGCCCCCTATAAACACACAGTCACAAACACGCACACATAGAACCCCAAGCCATCACGCAACCCAAATATAGCCACCCGTAGTCTTGCACTCAGCCACAATCACACGATCACAAACGGCTATCTGCAAGTACCTGGCCACACATTTTCATGGTAACAAGCACGTTTGTTACCTGCAATCTGGTGACACAGGGACAAGAGCCCCAGACCCCTGCAGTCATACACAGTCACACACATAACATGCATACAAGCACCCGCACAGACACTGAGCCACACATGATCCTATACGCACACACACCCAGTCACACAGTCGCACACACACAGCCTCCAGGGTAATGCACCTGTCACAGGCAGTCACTTGATATGGGAAAAGGTCCCCTCCCCACCCCCCCCCCACACATACACACGGTGACAGGCACACAGCCATACACAATCACTTGATCACAAATACGGACACCGACTCCTAGTCACCCAGTCCTGGAGCCATACCCACAGAGTCTCCCTGGGACAAACACTCGAATGTCACTTAGAGAGTCACCCAGAGCCCCACCCACAGTTTGCCAACAGGCACACACAGGGGTTCTGGTTACCTCTCACCCCCAGAATCAGAGCTGTGATCAGGGCACCGATCATCCACGTCCTGGGGGGTCCTGCTGTAGCCATGGCCACTTGGACCTGGTGGGAAGGACAGAGGGCAGGGTGGCCCAGGTGATTCTGGGAGCCCTTACCTCACGTCCCTTCCTTCCCTGTCCCATTTCCCAGGGCAGAGACATTGGACATTGCCTTCCAATCCCCCAAGAGCTACAGACTTCAGAGGGCAGACATCCAGCCCTCTCCAGTTGGGCAAGGAGGGAGGATAGAGAGAGTGGGGGTGCATCCAAGCCCAGAGCCAGAGGCAGACACCTCTCCCTTCCAGTGGTCTTCCCCAGGCCTCACCTGCCAAGCGAGAGTCCCCCCTGGTAGGGGGTGGGGAACCGGCTCCCAGCTCAGCCACAGACTTCTCAGGCCTGCGCCGTCCTTCCGTGCCTCCTCCTGGGCTCCGGGCACCCGGCCTGGGTTATAACCACCCACTGATCCCCGGGGCGCATTCCCAGGTAGTGAGGCGCCCCGTCAGGCCTCAGCAATCACTCCTCCTGCCTGCCCCCCACCTCCACCTCCAGAGCACCCCCCCCCACCCAGTCCCAAAGGCCACTCCCTAATTCCCTGGCCCCGGGGGATGGGGAGGGGTCTCCGCGGGGCTGGGCCACCTCGACCTGCAGCCCCTGCCCCCCAGCCTCGCATTCGTGCTTCTGACCTGCTCTGGGCGCTCTTCTTGGCGCCAGGATTTTTCTTTATTTTCCATGCCTTATACTCCTTCCGCTTCTCTCTGTCCCCGCCTTATAGCCTTCCCACCCGTGTCTCTGTTTTTTTGTTTTTGTTTTTTTTCCAAACTCTTACAGCCTTCTTTCTCTGTTTTTGCGTCCCTCTAAATCTTTCTGAGAATCTCTCAATATAAAGCGTCCACCAACTATCTGTTTTTGGGTGTCTCACCCCATCACACATCCCGCCCCCCGCGGCCACCTCACATCCCCCCCCCACCTTAGGATTCCCGTCTCTCTCTGTGCCTCCGCGTCTGTCTCTCAGCACCCGCCCCGTAACACCATGTCTCTAACCCTTGCACTTTATCCTCCTCTGAGGTTCTCTCTCTTTTTAATGGTTCTGATATTTATTTATTTTTGGGGGGGGGGCGGAGAAAGAGAAAATCCCAAACAGGCTCCACACTCAGCTTGGAGCCAGACTCAGGGCTCAGTCTCAGGAGTGTGAGATGGTGACCTGAGCCGAAATCAAGAGTCAGATGCTTCACGGACTGAGCCGTCTGGGCGCCCCTAGACTTCTCATCTTATTTTCCTTTACTTCTCTTTTTCTTTTTCTTTTTTTACAGCTTTGAGGTATAATCGGAGTACAATAAACTGCGTATATTTAACGTGTACAATTTGGTGAGTACGATTAGATAAGTTTTGACATACATATACCCAACCATCACCCCAGACAGTGAGCAAACCCATCCCCCGCCTAAGTTTCCTCCTATCCTTTTATGTGCCTGTGATTCCCAGTCTCCGTCTCTCTATACCTCAGGGTCTCTCTTTGTATCCTTCCTTCTCTAATACCTCTCTTTCCTCTGTGATTCTATCCTTCTTGATCTCCCTGTTTCTGTCTCTGCGTCTACATCATTCTGTCCCTCTGTCTCTGTCTGTCTCTCACTGGCTCTGAGTATCTGTATCTCTGTGTCTTTCTGTCCCTCAGCCTCCCTCGCCTTGTATTTTGGAAGCCACTTTGCTAAGGGATCCCTCACCCCTCCTCCTGTCCCTCACCCTGAGGCGGGAGCCACAGGGCAGAAAGGGGCAGGGATCCAGTCCGGTAGAGGGGGAGGGCACCCCCCCCGCCCCCCGCAGAGGCTTTGACTGGGCTGGCACAGCCAGGCGTGGGTGAGAGGGTTGGGCAGGGCCACCTGTTGATGGGGAAAGAGGCCAGAATAAGGGGTGGGTGGCTCCTGGCCCTGTCGGAAATGGGGCACTGGGTGGGGAGCCCAAAAAGTGGCTTCTCTATCACCAGTCCTGGGTCATCTGGGCTTGCCTTTCCTGATCTTTTCTCCATTTGGTCTCTTCTTTGTGTCTGGCCCCAGCTCTCTGCATCTGTTTCTAACAGTGTCTCCAAGTCTGACGCACTGGGATGTAAGAGCCCCTTACTCACTCAGCAGCTCCTTACGGGGTACCAGACTGAGGTGAAAAAAACCAGACAAGGACCCCGGGAGATGATCCCTTCGGAACTCACATTCCTTGAGGGTAAAACCGAACTGCACTCCTCACGTCTGTAAGCCTGCACCTGTTGAACCAGAGGTTTTAGAGACCTTGAGGTTGCTTTCCGTGTGTAGGGGGAAAAGAAACTATTCTGAGGTTTATCTTGATTATAATTTATATTGCATATATTAAAGTGACAATTCCAGTGGCCCAGTCACTTCTTTTCTTAATCTTTCAATGCTGGCTTACAGCCCTTTCAATTCTAGATCTGTCTTTTTTTTTTTTTTTTTTTTTTATTCTAGGTGGTTCTTTACAATAATGTTTGGTCTCATTTACAAACTAAGCCAATCAAGTATCTTCAAACATTTTAAACTACATTTCTAAAACCAACACATTCAATCTCTTCCGGAAGCCCTTCAAATTTTAGACACGCATTTCAGTGAATTTACACACCTGTGTACATCACACTTGTGCATAGGATCAACTTTATAGTCTTTCCAGTCTCCCAACACTGGATGTAAATTTGGTATGACTCCAACTTAGCACATAGGCTTGCTATGGAAATTAAGTGAGTTAATATATAAAGTCCGTAGACCAGTGCCTGGCATGTGCTAAGTAAGTGTTTATTATTAGTCGTATCCATTAAAGAAGATAATTCTTGGGATGCCTGCGTGGCTCAGTCAGTTAAGCGTCCAGCTCTTGATTTCAGCGGATTTCTCACGGTTTGCAAGATTGACCCTGCGTCAGGCTTTGCACTGAGTGTGGAGCCTGCTTGACATTTCTTCCTCCCTCTCTGCCCCTCCCCTGCTTGCGCTCTCTGTCTCAAAATAAATCAGTATCTTTGAAAAAGGAAGACAATTCCCTCTCAATTAACTGAAGCTGATTTAGTTGTTCTGGACATCCACTGACTGGCTCCTCCTGGTGACTCTGGCGCATTTCATGGCCCTGTTTGTCATTCGTAACCTTCAGAAGGGATTGGTCAAGGCGGGCCCAGGCCATTCACGTGACAATATTTCCATGTACACATAAAAATCAGCCACTCCCTGCCATCATGTGGCTTGGTCAACTTTCACCTTGCTTAGATTTTTAAGACATGCATGTGTGCTTTTTCTCTAAATCTGAAGACCGTTGCAGTGGAGGGTCTGTGTTCTTTGAAGACTCCCTCTGTCTTTGGGCCACATAACTCTCCCATTGTAGAATAACACACGACTGACTTTGAACATCTATGACGCGATTGCTCTGGTTAACAACTTCCGATTTTGTTCTATACTGTCCTGGGCAAAAATAAAGTCGCAGTAAATATTGAAAGAGATGAATTGCTGTCTCTGATTCTCCCTCTGTTCCTGAATGTCTCTCTGCTCTTAAATCCAGCCCCCGTGTAGAGCCCTCTTTTCCCTCTCTCTCTGGGAGCCCTACCCATCCCACTCACCTCCCTGGAAGGACACCTTGGCTTCCTCAGAGATGATGCATAGGGGTTGTAAGAGAAGAAGGCTTCTCCGAGGACAGGGACAGGCCTGGGACTTGGGGGTAGAGGTGTGTACATTGGTTAGGGATCACGTATGGTGCATGTTGGTGGGAGAAGCCCAGAAAGCACGAAGAAGCCTGGTGTCTGTTCCCTTCATTTCTTAGGGGGACCTACAGTCTCTCCTCCCCTCTGCCCATTGCTCTCCCTTCAAATGGACCACAGCAAGATCTTTCTGGTGCACAGATCTGACCCCGCCCTTTTCTCAAGGCCCTCGGGATCAAGGCCAAGTGCTTCTTCCTGGCATTCAAGGCCAACACTGCCTTCTACTGACCCACACTTTCAGCCACAACACCCACTCCTTCTTCCTCAAACCCTGGCTCCCTCATCCTGAGTGATTTGCCATCACCTGAGTGGTGTGCCATCTGGGGCACACCTGATGTTCTCACACCCTCAGGACTTTCTACAGGTTCTCTCCTCTATGAGAATGTCATCCACCCAACCCTTTCCATACAGTGACCCCATATTCAGCCCCCTTCCCCAGACCACCCAGCCGCCACTCAGCCCTCCTCTCTCCCTGCACTGTCATTTCAATCTCCTCCCTGGCCTCCAGTCTCCCCTCTCTGGTCCATCCTGTACAAAGCCACAGTGCTGCTCCTGCTCACAAGCCTCCCATGGCTCCCCACTGCCCTCAGGAGAAAGTCCTATCCTCTCAACCTAGGGTCCGCGGTCTTTTGGGATCTGGCTCCTGCTCTGCTCTCCCATCTACACACAGTGACCTCCCAGCCTTCTCACCTCCCTGCTTTCACTGCTACAAAAGGAGTGGAGGGGAGAGAGCCACCATGAAGGCTAGAACCAGGTGGAGTACTCACAGATGTCTTCTTAGAGGGGAGGAAAAACCAAACTGGGCTGTAAAAGGTAACTAAGAATATCCGGGTTTCAGAGAGGCAGACATGGAATAAAAGCAAAAAAAAAAAAAAAAAAAAAAAAAAAATCACAATAATAATAAAATCCACTCTTTATTGTTCAAGCAGGTGTGTTAGGGTGTCAGGGCCTCTTGTCTGTGTTCCACACGTTTGGAATCTTGAATCTTCCCAATGACAGCTGCCACCTAATGAGGAATGTCCTGTCATTATCCTTATGCTACAGATGAGAAAATCTACACAGTGAAGGAAGTCACTTCCTAAGGGCAGACGACTCGCAAGGAGCAGAAATTTGCCAGACTTGTGACCACCCCTCTGCACGAAGGAATAGAGCCCATGAGACAACCAGGAAAGAAGAGATGCTTGGAAGGAGTTTTCCTGTATTCTCTTAGTGGTGGGGGTAAGACCTTAGCTCATATCCCCACTTGCCCCCAGTGATGCGAGGATGGGGCTGGGGTAAAATCAGGGTGAATTTGTGCTGTCATGTCGCTGCTTTTATTA